TTTATAGACCACTTATTCTTATCATATGAATTCAAGATTCATGAATGGTTTTAAGTTTATATGGTTTACTGACAATAATTTCAAGTGCGAAGACAACAGTCTTTTTTGTTTTATATTACTCTGTCAATGACACTATGTGCAGAAAAAAAAAACATCATCTCAAAATGAATCAAAACAAGTATAAGATATTTAAAAATTATCACTATGTTTTATTTATTTATTCTCTCATTCATCATATGAATCATTTTTACAATTGAATTTTATTCAATTACTAAAAAGATTTTCATATAAACTCTATTAGTTTACATATAATAATGTATGAACATGATTTTTTTTTTAGTGAAAATATCAACAGAAAAAGTATATTTTATATTTAAATAAATGAAATTTTCAAATACATATAAATAATATCTATTGAATTTCAATATTCTAAAAAAACCTCAACATGTATCTATTTGTTGGATACGAAATCTTTGTAATGTACATATTATTCCGTATGAATTACTTCGAGATAGATATTAATCTTAAAAAAAAACATTTGCATATTGATAATAATCTTTTGTGAAATATACGAACGATTTGAATTTTGAAAATTTCTGTGTAATACAATTAAACGATCAAGTTATTAAAATTAAATTCATTTATTTATAAACTACTGTAAATATTCGATTAAGTTGAGAAGAAAAAAAGAAGAAAATTTTTCTTTTCATTGACTAATAAGTACTCTTAAAAGATAAAACTTAATAACCGAAGTTTGTGAAACATTTTGCTATGCAAAACCACAGAAAAAAAGAAATAATAAAATCGACTTCTTTCATCGTCAATGATCATAAAAATGTAAGATTTGACTTGAAGAAAAAAAAAACACCAAAGTATTTTCTATGAAATAAATATTTAGAACTAATGTGTTTGAATAAAATTTGAAATACATATATAATTCTGATAGATTTATCAAGTAAGAAATGAGATTATTTTTCATATCTGTTAAGTTCTTTACTTTCTTAACCTTCATAAAGGACAATTCGATAGTTAACAAAAAAAAAAAACAAAATCGAACAAGGTTTGTTGTTGATAATAGAAGAGAATAACAATATCATAAATCTTTGTTTTCATCTCTTTTGTATGATATCGATGAAATATCAACCAGTTACTAATAGTTCATTTCAAACAACGATAAATATTTTGTAAGTAACTTACTTATTCATTCTTACCTAAATCAAAAATTCTATTTTTTTTTTAGATAATTAAATAATGAAAAAATTTTCAATAAGATTTTATTTTACATATTTGATAATTCTTTTTATTTATATAAATACCATATATTCATATCATTATACTGAATTTTTAAATGATGATAATGATGATGATACGAATATACAAAATCAATATTTGCATGAAAAACTCATTCACACTATTATTCATCAACAGAAAGATATACAAATTTTTGAAGGTAGTTCAACAATGATTGATCCTGGATCTGGAAGCGGTACAAGTAAGAATGTTTTCATTATTCGAAATTTTCTGACACAATTAAAACATAGTCTAGATATCGTTTTTTTACGATTGTGTAATATAGATTTCCACTCACACATATATTTGCATACTCTCATCATCTCATCCTTTAATATTTTTTTTTCTTTTGTTTGCAAGTTTTATAGAGTTGATATAAAAACAGCTAAAACTTTGTCATACGACTGAAAATTTCGGTATTACTGCTGATTAGACTGTTTACCATGGGATATATTGTTTATCAATAGACAGAGACATATTGTTGTTCCATGAGATAGTGTTCATTTAAGCTGAATGATAGTCTCATATCTCTCGAGATTTAAACAATAGTAGAATAAATCAAAAATGAACAACTTCATATTTATTATCATCTAATTCTAGCTCATGAAAAAGTGAGACATAGGTGAGAAAATGATTCTGATCACGAACCAGCACAATTAGGATGTCTATGTGTTGTTGTTAGACATGATTCTAAACTGAGAACGAAATTTTTTTGTCAGTTTCAAATCATGATTTCTCCGAACTAGTAAAATTTGTCTCATATGTCTAATGCATATGAATTTCTATAATCTTCAATGTATTTCGAGAAAATTTTAATGTAATTTATTCCTGAATCTCGATTTATCTGTAAAACATAAACATGTCTAATAAACTGCATATTCTCTAAATCTACAAAAGTAAACTGTCAAGGTTCATCTATACTTTTTATACTAAATCTTGTCCATGGAAGCTATTTTCAAATACTACCATTTTCCATTCATCATGCCTCAGCTAGGTATGAAATCATCACCTACACAATGTAATTAGGTATGACGACCGATCAAAGCTTCTTACTATTCACAACAGCCACAATCACGACTGTAATAGATGACAACATTACAACCACATCTAGTTTCATATTCAACACTGAGTCTACAATACCGGATAATGAAACAACTACGGTTTCCTATCTCGAAACGGAAATTCCTTCATCGTCGCCTCTCACCGTAACAACAGTGACCTGGACCATAAAAACGGATTTCACAACACTAAATGATTCTGAAACAATTGGTGATACAACACAAATGGAAAGTACTCCAGCAATGACTACTTCTACAGCACCTATTGGTTCTACAACAATGGATATAACTGCGTTACAGACAGTCTTCCCAACGACCACTGCTTCTACAGACATGGATACGAGTTTGACAACGCTAGACTCTACAGAAGCCAATGGTTCCATAACCATAGATACGACTAAAACAACACTAGGCTCCACAGTGACCAGTGGTTCTGCAAGCATGGATACGACTACAACAGCACCAGACTCTGAAGCAACCAGTGAATTCACAAGCAGAGATACGATTACAACAATGCTAGGCTCCACAGTAATCAGTGACTCTACCAGCATGTATACGATTATAGCAACCAGAGATTCAACAACAAGTACTACTTCTGCAACGACGGGCGTTGCCTCTATTATAATAGTCTCTATAACAACAGGTTCTACAACAGCGGTCACGGCTTCAACAATACTAGCCACTACGACAACCACTAACGTCACTTCAGCAACAACTTCTATAAGAACAAATGCTTCAACCATGGCAATGTCTGCAGTAACTACGGATAGGATGACAAGCACTGATTCCATAACTTCATTTACTCTCAGTACAACAACTACTCCTGTTTGTAATGAGTCCAGTCATGTACTGGTGGATGGTAGTTGTGTGTCGATGCTGGATCTTCAGGTCTGATAGAAATATTACTTAATCCAGTCAAATTAATTTTGTTTATCATTTAGATCTCTACGGTAAATACTTTACGTAATAAAACAAATGACACTAATATAATAGCCAATGCTCTCTCCTTATATTTTGAATCAATCATTAATTCGAATCTAATACAGAATTCAAGTTATGTTTTACGACCTGATGAAATTGACGAATTTCTCAGTATCCCTAGCAATGTCACTTTGATAGTGAACAAGAATACATCATTTATTATGTTTCAGCAGCTTAGTGGATATCCAAACGTATCAACTCTCGGTGCTGCATTTCGACGTGGCATCGGTGGCCAAGTTGTCGATACTTTCGATATAGACAATGCGGCCAAGTCAAACGTCTCAGCAGCAGCTATTATCAGCAATCAAGCTTTAAATGGTGCTACATCTCTCAATATGCTCATCATTGATAAACCTACAACATATAGACAAGTAGATAATTCAGCGAATAGAACCCTTGCATCTTCAGTTATCGTGGTGTCAGTGCAGAGAAATAGTTCTGCACCAAGCCCGATGAATATTTCTCTATATTTTCAAGTTTTAAATGAGTATCAACCAAACCATGTCGCCGAATATTTCTGTTCATTCTATGATACAACTCATTCAAGATGGAACGAATCCGGTTGTACAAAACCTCAAAACAATTTCGCTTTTAATCGATATGAATGTAGCTGCAATCATTTGTCTACTTTTGCTCTAGTTTGGGCACCATATGTTGTGCCTTGTGGTAATACTACACACATGTCAGCGCCTAATGGCAGTTGTGTACCGAAAATTGAAGTTCAAGTTTGTTATGCAAAATTCCGTTTCTTTTCTTATTGTAAATACCTTTTTTTAGGCGATCACAGTGGACACTTTGCGTCGGAATGACACAAATTCATCTGTTATTGCCGAAAATCTTTCATTATATATAAGTTCAATTACGAATTCGAATACAACATCCAATTCATCAAATACTCTCACTGTTAATGAAATTGATACCCTTATATCCAGAATAAATGATACTAATATAACAAAAAATACTGCTGATTCAATCCTTGTTGCACAACAACCCAATCAAGGAGACAATATAATCGTGTTAGGTGCTTCATTTACACGTGGTGTTGGGGGCAAAGTTGTTAATACTGCAAATAAAGAGAACGTAACCAACTCACATTTATCAACCGCAGCTATTATTAGCAATCAATCCCTAACTGGTGTCATATCTCTCAATATGCTCATTATTGATAAACCTACAACATATGAAAATATAGATAATTCAACGAATAAAACTCTTGCATCATCAGTTATTGTCATGTCAATCCGAAGAGATAGTTCTGCATCTGTCCCGATGAATATTTCTCTTTATTTTCAAGTTTTAAATGAATATAAACCCAATTTAAGCGCCGATTACTTTTGTTCATTTTATGATACAACTAATTTCACATGGAATGAATTTGGTTGTACGAAACCTCAATATAGTCCAACATTTGATCGATATGAATGTAATTGTAACCATACAACTTCATTTGCTCTTATTTGGTTACCAAAAGTACCTCTTACACGTTATCTTAATGCACAAGACATTGCATCTCTTGTATTTCAATCAATATCAATTTGTTGCTTTTTAGCTATTATTATTCATGCTATTGTTATACGAATTCGAGATTCAAAAATGAGCTTACGGACATATGATTTACCACCATTAATCTCATGTGGAACAACAATGATTCTGTTTGTTTTTTATATTGCTCTAGCAATGACAGTTTATACGAAAGAAACATATGATGATGAAAATCAATGTTTTCTAAGTTCAAGTGTATTGATGTTTTTTGTTTATTTCTTTTTAATTTTCATGCTTTGCACCAAAACAAGTGTGGCATATTTTGATTATCTACGTTTCGTTTATTTATTTCCTCCACCACCATATCAGCAATTATTAACAATGCTGGTAGTATCATTTTTCGTTTCTATTACATGGGTTGCTTTTGCAGCTGGCTTTAATTCTAGTTCATCATTTCATATTACACAATTATATCCATATAAACTCTGTTGGTTTACTCGTCCAGCTATTTATTATTTTCTAACCATACCTGTTGGTCTTTTTCTCATAATTAATATATTTATATTTATTCGTGTAGCTCAACGTATGGTAAGTCATGCTCGAAATGCAACAGTACATCACGGTTCATTTGAAAGAAGAAAACAATGCGTAATCCTTTTACTTTTTTCATGTGCAACTCAAGGTATTGGTTGGCTTTTTGGTCCATTTTTGACAATTGCTACTCCAGAAGCGGCGAATGTTTTAGGATGGTTTTTTATTATATTTAATGGATTAGAAGGTTTATGGGTGATAATTCTTTATGCAATAATTCGATTAGAACGAATAGGCGAACAAATACGTATTCTACCTGCTGAAGAAATAAGGAAATCGCGAACATCAAAATTAACAACTAGTAAAGATAAAAAATCTTTTGAAGAAGAAAATGAAAAAGAAGATCGTCGCATTACAAGAGACACTGAAGTTAGATACCAGAATAGACGAAAACAAACTTCACGCTCCTTTGATGACTTTCGTGATATCGTAATGATGGACCCTGATGTTGATGATCATAGTGAAACATCATTCTGTTGAAACAATTACTACTAGTAATAGTGTTCATTTAGCAAAGTTTTCTTCTAATAAAATTATTCAAATTTGATACCTAAACGCTATTATTAATAATCTTTTAATAGTATAAAATAATGTCGAAAGTTGTCATTTGTCATCTTACTGATTAGTATGCTGATTCAAATTTGGTAAGAAGGGATTAGAGATTGACACGATGGTCTATAAGTTAAAGACACATTCAAGAAAATCTCATTTGTATCTTACTAGAATTTGAAAAATGCTCAACAATTGCTAGTAGATGAATATGACTTGAACTTTTCATATTTTCATTTGTACTAATAGTAAGAGAAGTATGTTTTCCTGGATAAAAACAGTTAGGCTCGATAGTTTCAACACATCACTATTATGAATCAATACCTTGAGGGAAAGAAAATATAGATTAAGCAGGCGAGCAAACTTCTTTACAATCGTATATATATATATATACATGTATACATGTTGAATTACATCTGTTCATTAAAATAAAAATACAAGAAGCCTGAAGGCACTCACATAGTAAGATCCTCCAAAAATGTATTGTTCATTTCTTTTTCCATATTTTCGAATTTATTTTTTAATAACCAATCAAACTGATGCGAAAGTAAGTATTTAGTCTGAAAGTACTTGAAGATCTTGATCACTGTGTACTTTACCAGCCTTGCTTTTAAATTATTTAATAACAAATGTTTTGAATATTGTTAATATACTCTCACCCTGATACCTTCACTCTCAACTACTCAATATAATTCATATAGAAGCTCACAAATAATCATCTAGTAATCGAATAATATATTTGTAATATCTTTATAGAAAACTGTCAAAACCTTTTTCTTTTTTTCTAATTTGTTTAATGATTTGTATTTAATTGATTAATTAATAACGATAAATCTATTCGCGTGATGAACATCGTCACTACGATACTTTTAATTTCATCTTTGATAAATATAATATATATAAACTATTTGTTTGTTTAAATATTAATTTGTTCAATGTTGAAGAAAAAACTTTTATGCTTTGCTTTTAATTATTATTGATCATTATCTGTAGTATTTGTTAACGTTGTCTTATGCCACTGTATTAAACTATAAAACAATTCGATTGAGTCCATCAGATTTATCATTATTGTGAATATTGTGCTTATAGACACTCAAATTAAATGTGAAATCGTGAAATTTTATAATCTTCTTATAAGGAAAAGTAGCTACCATATCACTAACATCATCGTGTGATGATATGGAAGATATATATATTAGTTAGGACATAATATTTTCTCAGCGGACTATCACTATGATTTCAAGTAGAATAAACAATCAATTTTTAAATCAAATGAAAGTTTATCGAAAACGAAATTTATTAATATTGAACAATAAGACTTATGAAGTTTTTCGTACGTCAAATTCTTAAAATTTGTAATATAGAAGAATTGCAAATAGCTCAGCATAAAAATTACATGCAGATTCTGATAACATATTGTTTTAACTTGATTTTTAGTTACTATTTTAATATGTTGTAATATATTGAAGTCGAATAAATTTACAGAACACATATCATTATCCCAAACTGACCTTCATTGTCTTGCAGCAAATGCTCGATAATATTTATTCACATACACGATGCTTTGTCATATATATATATATAATTTCATTGATGTCTATAGCATTGTCTTCTTTTTTTATTTTTAAGCAAGAAAATACATTTGTTTTTTGAATCAAAATTGTATCACTCTAAGATTCACCTGCATTGTTGAGAAATCAATATATTTTCATGATAGTAAAAATTACAACAATCGCAATACATGTTTGTTGTTAATCATTTCAAAATATCTGTTATCTTCTTCAATATCTTCGATACTGCTTAGTATCCAAAAGTGATCATTTCAATAATTTAGTCTGTAAATGATCTATACATAGAATTTATCAGATGGTTCGAAATGAAAGAAACCTTCTTATATCCAATTGCATATCTATAATCGATTTTAAAATAAGGTGAAAAAGATTTAATGTTTCTCTATGATGATAATGATTGATTGTATCTATTAAATGATCAAATAAAATAAAAATTAATTTTATATTTCATTTAGTTCGAATTTTATTTTATGAGTCATATTTTGTATATTTATACTCACTAAATACTACGAATTTCGAGAATTTGACATATATAAGTCATCATAACACTTATTGCTGAATACTGATAAATTCCATTTTCGATGAGTTTTCATTCGTTACATAAATTTATTGTATACTATATGTAAAATCAAAGAGAGAACTTCTTAGAAAAATATGATTTCCTATCTATAATTATTTTGAGTCTTTTTTTTCTCTTTATTCATCGTTTTCTTCTTAACGATTCTTATTCGTGATATTATCATATGAATTCAAGATCAATGAATGAATTTAACTACGTATACTTTACTATCAAGAATTACAAGTACAAAATACAAGAATTCTTTTTATCTCTTATATTGCTCTTTCAATGACGGTATAGAGTATATACACACTTGCAAATGTTGAATTTACTTAATGAAAAGGAAGATAAAAGAAATTTTTCTTTTGCGTTTTACTACTTAAGAAAAATCCTTAAAAGATAAAGCTGAATAACTACAGTTTGTGAAATATTGTGTGATTTTATAATAGAAAGCACAACAAAAAAAAACAAAACGAAAACCTACTTGATATCAATAGTCGTAAAAAGATAAGACTTATAAAAAAAAGTCTACACACAAAACCACAATAATTTCCACCAAAGCATTGTCTATGTAATAGATATCTAAGAACTACTACGTAGGTACATATATTTACAATGTGAGATATAAAAAAAAATCTTGATAGATTTAACAAAAACAATCAACAAGTTTTGTCGTTTATATCGGTGAAACAGTTTGATTACATAAAATTTTCACCAAATTGAAGAAAGTTTTAATACAAATCTTCGATATCATAGAAAGAAACAGTCTACAAACACTTACAATTTAAAAAACATAAAATACTCATAGTCTACTCTATATGATAGAATTATGCAGCCTAAATGTCTACGAATCGGTGTAAGACATCATCATAAGTCTTCAAACTTCGAGAAACCTTACAAAAGATTTTCGTCGAAATGAGAAAAAAGTTACGGTGAGTATTTTTTCAAACTATAACATGTCCTAAAATCAAAGAATGACAAGATTCACTATTTCTCGCTCTAATCTTATACTCGAAAGTGTTTATCAGAATTTACCGTAAGCATTCAGCGGTGTATTAACGCTATAGTTATTATTAATCATCATGTATAGAGAGAAAAATAAAAAAAATAGATTTATGAAATATTACGTTTCGCAAATGAAATTTATCAAGAAAGAATAAGAAGAATGAAGAAAAAACGATGACATGAATGAAAGAGAGAAAAAGGAAAATCTGACAAGTTTTACATACAAAAGAATTTAATGAAAAGTAATGAAATAATAATTCATGTATTATTTGAACATATTTCAGTCGTTTCATTACAAAGAAATATCGAAACTGATGATTTTTACTCTCAAAAAATAAATTGTAAGAAAAGCTAGTCAGCTAAGTCTGATTTTTCTCTTCGCTTTAGTCATTTCTATACAAATGATTTTATTCAATAATTTAATAGTACTGTTTTCAAGCATAAATCTTTTTGAATATTGAGTAGGAAACGATATTGTGACAATATTCAGGTTGAGTAGGACAAAAAGAACAAGTTTTTAGAACACTTTTTGAAGATTTTTTTGCCCATTTTTCATCCATCTAAGTTTATTAGATATTCGCGAGGAGTTTTATTAATTATCAATCTTAGTTTGTTTTGAAAAGCACTTTTAAATAGAAAATAAATCGAATGAGTCAATTTAATTTAAATATGGTGTTAATATAATTCAAGACCATACTACATGAACATATATTTATCTTGCAGATTAGTTGCATAAGATTATCGATTGTCATCGATATTGAACTTCAGTTTTATGTTTTTACCACATGCTATCCCTTAAAATACAATCTATTGAAAACAAAAACTTTGTATTAAATTATATATTTATTTTTTTAGTTATGAAATGTGATTATTCAGCACAGTTTTTGATATATACCGGGTGTGCCAAAAGTTTTGCGACATTTCTAATTTCTCATATATCTCGACTTGACAAAATGGTAAAACTTTGGTTTATTTTTTAAAAGATGCGCCGTGAAAATTTCTACAAAAAATCTATAAACACATTTCTATTGACTTGTTCTGATCGTTCTTCCCATACTCAAAATGAAAAAGCTAAATGTTAACGCTACTTCTCACCGTATTAAGGGTAATACAAAATCTTTGTAAGACCGTTTTTGTTTTGCAATAGGGATTTGTTCATACAGCTTTTGTAGAGCTTTTGACGGCGCATCTTTTACAAGAAAAATCAAGATGTTATCATTTTCTCAGACCGAGATATATCCAGAACAAAAAGTCTTCCAAACAGGTACAGTATGGTGGAAAGTAGAACTATCATGTAGTTTTTCATTTTGAGTATGGGGAAAACCATCAGAACAAGTCATTATGGATTGTTTGAACAGTTTTTGTAGAGCTTTGTACGACGCATCTTTTAAAAGCAAAATCAAGATTATATCATTTTCTCAAGCCGAGATATATGTGAAATTAAAAATGGTGTAAACATTTTGGGATACTCGGTAGCAACATCACGCAGATCTTCACTTTTAACGATCTAGAAAAATCATCAAAGCAAGTCAATAGGGATTGGTTCACACAGTTTATGTGGAGCTTTTCACGGCGTATCTTTTAAAAGAAAAATCAAGATTTTATCATTCTCCCAAATCAAACAAACAAGTCTTCCAAACACTTTTATTATACTCAATGCAGTGGGACAAAGCACTATCATGTTGCTTTTCCATTTTCAGTATGGGAAGAACGATCAGAACAAGTCAATAGGAATTTTTTTATACAATTTTGTAGAACTTTTCACGGCGCATCTTTTAAAAAAATAAACCAACGTT